GCTAGTTTCTCCCTCTAATAACACTGATCATTGAGAGTGAGAAGAGGAAAGGTTGAAGAGGAAAACATTCAAGCTTTCCACATTACTTTGCAGGAATCCGAAGTGGGGAAAAAAAAATTTGAGGGGCACCTGGGTGGCTCAGTGGGTTAAGCCTCTGCCTTCAGTTCAGGTCATGATCTCAGGGTCCTGGGATCGAGCCCCACATTGGGCTCTCTGTTCAACGGGGAGCCTGCTTCCCCCTCTCTCTCTGCCTGCTGCTCTACTTGTGATCCTTCCCTCTCTGTCAAATAAATAAATAAAAATCTTTTTTAAAAAACCATTTGAAAAATACATATTACATATGCATACATTAAACAACAGTAGCTCAGGCAACACAAAAAGGAAAGACATTTCTGTACTTCCTTCTTCAACAGCACACACGCAGCTGTGACCACCTAGAAGGTGGTCTGATCCAGATGAGTACCAGCAGCTCTGGCACAATATCCATGTGAATAACCAAGAGGTTAGAGCAATGGACTAGAAGACAGGTTACACCTCTTCCGTATATGCCCAACAGCAGTCAGCAAACTTCCTTTTGAAGATTTGGATATAAGCAAAACAATGTCTACTTTTGGTAATTACGGCATAGGATTTTAACAACAGTGCTTATATAACAGTTGTGCAATTCGTGAAACTGAAATGCCCTTTCAGACGGCAATTATGTTCAAAGGAGAGCAGTAAAGTCAGCCTCTGAAACAAAATGGCTCCATAGTCATGCTTTGCTCGACCTGTCTGTACATGCCACACACTCGTTGCTACATAAAACTGAAGCCGCCGACCACCATGATCATAGCATCTGCACAGGGGAGAAATCTCCAGGAGCTGGAAGAGTTTAGAAAGGCTTCAAGAGAAGAACCTGTCTCATGTCTCACCTGGGCTCTAAAGTCTGGGTCAGAGTTGAAAGAGTAAGAGAGGACTTGGAAAATGTATGAGGGAGAAGAAAACTCAGAGATCGTTCTGAGATTGGCAGAAAAGAATCAGAAATTAGAATGTTTTCAGCACCAGATGCACATGGGAAATTGGTTTAAGAGGAAGCTGCAAAGGTACCTGGGAGAGATTCTGGAGGATTCTGTATGCCAGCTTAAAAAAGGCAGACTTTGATGTGCAGGCAGTACAGAGTCCCTGAAGGTTTCTGAGAAGGGTTTAAAATATCACGCATTTGATAAATAATTATATGTTATCTTATTACATCTTCTGTTATGCTAATATTTCTTTTCCTACTAAGCAATTAATATTTTAGCTTTTTTGTCTTTTATGAATAAGGAAAGAACTTAAGGTTGTTTTAGAAAAAAACTAAACCATAAAAGGTACAACTAAGGTAGAGTCTCCATTTACACAGTGCCATCTGGTCCTCCAACCCACTGTTGCCAGACAAATCCAGGGAAGATCATAGCTCCATACCTATCTCCAACCTATTCACAGGTACCTGCAGCCAGGATGGCTGGAGCCTAGGCAAACTGTTCCAGGCCCTAGACTGAGAAGCTAATGCTGTGAGAGGGCAGGCCTCCTGAAGCAAAAGGAAAGACTGTTTCCCATCAGATGAAAATTCAGACCCATCTTTGTTCCGTGGGTTAGCAACCTTTGCTTATTCTACAAATGTTCATTAGTGTCAACAAGCCTTCCAATGCTGGATTGGTTGACTTTTCTATGGGAGCTCCTAGAGATTGGATACTGGTCTTCATTACATCATAAATATTTACTAAGCACCTACTATAAGCTAATCACTGTGATAGACACAATGCATCAGAACCTAGGCCCCAAACCAAGGGGTCAATCTTTCTTTTCCCTACCCCACTAATCCTATATATGATCCTCAACAAGTCCTGTCTGCTCCATCTCAGATGGCTATCCATCTTCTCCCTACTGCCCGAAGTACCTGGAATCTAACCACTTTTCACTCCCCTCCACCATCTTATCTGGGCCACTCTAATAGCCTATGAAATCTGAGCCCAGCCCACCTCTCTACCTTCATTTCCTACTGCCCTTCTTGCTGTTTCTGGAACATGCCAAGTTGATTCTCTTTCCAGGGTCTTTGCACTTGCTCAAGCTCTCTTTGCCTGGAATAATCACCCCCAGATCTTTGCAGGGTTTTTCTTATCCTTCAGATCTCAACGGAGTATTATCTCCTTAGAGAGACCTTCCTTGATCATTCCAAATAAAATTAATACTCCATCCCATCCTTCTCTAAACCCTTACCTGGCTTTATTTCTTCATAGCATTATTATATTATGTATTTATAAACTAAAGAAACTATTACAGTCTTTCTCACACATACAGTATCCCCAGTAACAAAACAATGCTTAGCACATAAGGATCAGTAAGTTCTTGCTAAAATGAATAAGAACCCCAGTTTCTCCGCACAATCAGAGGGTTAAGACAATGATAAACAATGAGCTATCACAATCTAAATGCCATCAACAGAGGTCTGGCATATTCGGAGAGTGCAGCATAGGGCATAGGCCAATGTGAAGAAGTTGCAAATAAGAAAGGAAAGGAGACTGAGGCCAGTGAAAGGTCCCAGGATAATCCAAGACCCAGGAAAACGTCACCCAGAATGCCAGATTCCTGGGGTGAAGCTGCAGGAGATTAAGACTAGACTGAAAGATTAGTTTCTCATTTGATCCCAAAAAGCCTGGACTTCATCCCATGCGCTACGGCTGACAAAGGCATGAACTCCAAGGCGGGGCAGGGGTGCAAGAGGTTTGACATTTCGGTGGTACAACCAGACAAGAGACAATAAAGGAGAAGGACAAGTCTAACACAAATCGTGAGGTGGACCACATACAAAAGGAAGAATGATGTCTAGGAACATGGAAGAGGAAGTGGAAAGAAAGGAGACAACAAAAAGTTTGACTTTAGGTTTCACAGGTTTGACATTTCCCTTAGATATCCAAATGAGGATGTCCAGTGAGCACTTAGAAATGGGGTGTCGGATGCCTGGGTGGCTCAGTGGGTTAAAGCCTCTGCCTTTGGCTCAGGTCATGATCCCAGGGTCCTGGGATTGAGCCCCGCATTTGGGCTCTCTGCTCAGCGGGGAGCCTGCTTCCCTTCCTCTCTATCTCTGCCTGCCTGTCTGCCTACTTGTGATCTCTGCCTGTCAAATAAAATCTTTAAAAGAAAGAAAGAAAGAAAGAAAGAAAGAAAGAAAGAAAGAAAGAAAGAAAGAAAGAAACCTGCTTCCTCCTCTCTCTCTCTCTCTCTCTGCCTGCCTCTCTGCCTACATGTGATCTCTGTCTGTCAGATAAATAAATAAAATCTTTAAAAAAAAAAAAAAACACATGACACAAAAACTAAAAAAAAAAAAAAAAATGAAATAAGATACAGATAAATAGTATTTACAGAGACAGGTGGATACCGTCTCTCAATAACTGACAGAACAAGCAGACAGAAAATCAGTCAGGATATAAAAGAGTTGACCACTATCAATCAACCTGACTTAGCCTGACATGTATAGAACACTCCAACTCAACAGAAGACACATTCTTTTCAAGTGCACACAGAACATTTATCAAGACAAACCATATTTTGGGCCATAAAATAAGTTTCAATGAATTTAAAAGGAAGTAAGTCTTATAAACTACAAAATTCTGACTATAATGGAATTAAATCAGAAGTCAGAAAAAGGAAGATATCTGGAAAATCCCAACATTTGGAAAGCAAATAATGTACTTTTAAATAACTAATGGGTCAAAGAATAAATCAAAAAGTATTCTGAACAAAATGACAATAAAAATATACCATATCAAAATTTGTGGGATGCCACCAAAGTAGTGCTTAGAGGGAAATGCATAGCACTAAGCAGCTATAACAGGAAAAGAAGGTTTCAAATCAATGACCTCAGCTTCTATCTTAAGAAACTAGGAAAGAATAAATTAAGTCAAAGTAAGCTAAAAAAAGGTAATAAAGATCTGGGCAAATATCAGTGAAATCCAACAAAGAAAAACAAAAGAGAAAATCAATGAAACCAAAAGCTGATTTTTCAAAGGTCAATACAATTGATAACCTCTAGCCAGGCTTGTCAGGAAAAACAAGAGACCCAAATTACCATTATCAGTGATGAGATAGGTAAAATCACTACAGTCTACAGATACTAAAGGATAAGCATTCCTCAGGAACTTTAAACAGAATTACCATATGATCTAGCAATTCCACTCCTACGTATATTCCCCAAAAAACTGAAATCAGGGGCTCAAACAGACATGTATCCACTAAAGTTCATAGCAGCAGTATTCACAAGGGCCCAAAGGTAAAAACAAACTAAATGTCCATCACTGTCTGTGAATGGATAAACAAAATGTAGGATATACACACAATGGAATATTATTTAGCCATAAAGAAATGAAATTCTGATATATGGTACAAGATAAGTGAACCATGAAAACATACTAAGTGAAAAAATGAGACCATAAGGACAATATATGCATGATTCCCTTTATGTGAGGTACCTATAATATGCAAATTCAGAGACAGAAAGTAAAACAAAGGTTACCAGGGGCTGGGGGAGGGAAGAATGTAGAGTTATTGTTTAATGGGCCCAAGATTCTGTCTGGGTAACAAAAACTTCTGGAAATAGATATTGGCAATGATTCCACAACACTGTGAATATACTTAATGACCCTGAATTGTACCCTTAAAAAATGGTTAAATTCATAAGTTTTATGTTATGCATATTGTACCATAGTTTTTAAAAAGAGTAGTGTTTTGAACAATTTTATGTCAATAAATTTGACAATTTGGATGAGATGGACAAATTCCCTGAAAGACGAACTACCAAAGCTCACTCAAAAATAGATAATCTATATCTAAATAATCTAAAATTATTTAAAAATAATCTAAATAGTCCTATGCGTATTTTAAAAATTGGACTTGAGATTAAAAATCTTCCCACAAAGAAATCTCCAGGCCCAGACTGACTTATTGGCAATTACCAAACATTTAAGGAAGAAATAATACCAATACCACTACCACACAAACTCTTCCTGAAAAATGAAGAGGAAAAAGTATGTCCTAACTCTCTTTGGTAAACATTACCCTGATACTAAAACCAGACAAACACTATACAAGAAAATTAAAGACCAACATCCTCATGAATATAGACACAAAATTCCTGAGCAAAGTTTCAGCAAATCAAATCCAACAATATACTAGAAGGATAATACATGATTGCCAAGTGGGGTTTATTCAAAGAAGGCAGGGTTGGTTTAACATTTGAAAAACAACGAAATTAACCACATTAACAACTAAAAAAGAAAATTCCTACAACCATCTCAAGAGACACAGGAAAAACATCTGACAAAATCCAACAACCATTCCTGATAAAAGCTCCCAACAAATTAGGAATATGAGAGAACTTCCCAAACTTGAAGAGGGCATCTACAAAAAACCTATAGCTAATATTATACCTAATGGTCAAAGACTGAATGCTTTCCTCCTAAGATGAGGAACAAGACAAAGATATCTGCTCTCACCATTTCTAATCAATATGGTATTGGAGGTCCCAGATAGTGTAGTAAAAAATAAGGAATCCAAATCAGAAAAGAAATAAAACTGTCTTTATTCAAAGACAACATGATCAACTATGTAGAAAATGCAACAGAAACTACAAAAAGGCCACCAGAACACGAGTTTAACAAAGTTGCAGAACAGAAGTTTAATATGCAAAAAAATTAACTGTTATTATATATTACTACTGAAAAATCGGGTATTGAAAAAAGTTTTGGGAGCACCTGGGTGGCTCAGTGGGATGGGCCTCTGCCATCGGCTTGGATCATGAAAAAAAACATGAAATATTTAGGGATAATAAATCTCAGCCCCGATGCTACAGTACGTGATGAAAAAAAAACATTAACTGAGAATCAAAAGACCAGGGTCCTAGTTCTGGCTTGTTTTGCAGCCCAGTGGCTTTGAATGATACAGAGAACAAGTCCTTTCTCTTCTCTAGGCTTTTTTGGTAATCTGTATGATAGTAAGATTGAATCAGACCAATGGCCCTCAATTTTTCTAAATCATGTATGCTTCTGAAAATTTTATAAGAGGCACTGAACCTATCCTAGGTAAACACTCTTAAAGAGAAAAGTTTGTATGTACCTTGAGGAGTTTAAGGAGCCCGCAGAGCTCCCTTCACAGAACCTCCCGCCACCCCTATCCCCAGTAAAGTGTACCTGGAGCAGGTAATTTGAGGCCTTTGCCAGTCCTACTGTCTTAATGTTATCAGACTTTGAAAACTACCTGGAAGAGAATTCTTTTGAAGCCCTATCTCCATCAACTCCCCACACACTGACCAGTTTGATGGAAGTGGGGTTCTCCACGACTGAGTAGGCAGGAAGAGGCAACATGATGAACTGTGTGGCTGGCGCAGAAGAGCTACTCTCGCTGGAATCCTGTGGGCACACGGAGAGAAGGACAGTTTTACTGAGATGGAATGAAGAATACCCAGGGCCACCCACAACAAACACTGAAAGAACGGATCAAGTCCAATAACCAAGATAGTGTGCTTATCCAAAAAAATAAGTCTACAATTATCTCAAAACTTATAAGAAAAAAAGATACAGAAAACTTTTACCACAAAGAATGTGCTATCCTCATTTTACAAATAAGAAAACTGAGGTCCTAAGAGACTTAGGACTCCTAAGATCACATAAGCAGTTAGTGAAAGAACCCAACTGTTCTGACCCTGTCAAGTGCTGACATCGTATTGATCTGCCTTAAGCAGGCAGGTGGCATGCTTCATTATCATAAACAGTCCTGAGGCAACAAACAAGAAAATGGACTTAGGCCTACCACAGATTCCTTTCCAAGGAGCTACCTGCTCTAACATCCAGGCCATCCTACATTCCTCTTGGCCTGAGCAGAAGTCCTACTCTGAGGATGCCACATTACCCAGGGTAACAGAGGGCATGGTGGTAGCTCCCGAGCTTCCAGGGGGACCAGGCTGTGGGATCACTGAGACTGCTCTTCCCCTCAACTGGGCATAGCTGAACTTATGCCACTGGAAAAACTATCAGCCTGGCCTTGAAGAGAGCTTCCTTTTTCCTACCCAATCTGCACCCAGGAAGACCATTTGAAAATTCTCCTAAACAGTTCAAGGTGCCATTGTGTTTGCTGAGACAGTCTTCAGGGAACATAAAATCCTAACAGCTTGAGAGACTCTAGCTTTGATTCATGGACAATCCGTATCATTGAAATGCTGTTACTGCACCTCATGTACTCTCTTAGGTGAAGCAAGTCCTGGCTGTGCTGGGCAAAAAGAGTTGGTAAGAGGGCCTAAGAAACTGAAGAGAACTTTAAAGTAAGCAAGCCCAAGGGAAAAAGGTTCAAGAGAACTGTAGTCCTACTAGAAGTCCACACCAGCACTCTTAATTACCACTGCATGGCGCTAGCTACCTTTGTAGTAACTCCAGATGAAGTAAAAGAGACATAAGTACCAAAGTCACTTACCCTCATGACAGTTACCACTGACATGCTCTCCCCAACCTGGGCGTGGGGCACAGCCAGGCTTCCAGCAGGGAGGTCTGGTGAGCCGTTCACTAAGGTCTCTTCAATTACCAGGCTTGTCTGGTACGGTTGGTGGCTCTCCCCTACCTCCAGGGAAGCCTCCTCCAGGAGCACATCCTGGCTGAGGATCTCTGAGGTGGCGATCTCTTGCACGGCACCCGGCTGGGAAAGGGCTCCCACCTCCTCAGCTAGGGACTCCACAGCCAGGCACTGCTCTGCCATGCCTGCATGGCTAGGCACTGCCTCCGGGGCACTGCTGGACACAAGTGATGGTCCTTTAGGGGACACCTGGTTCTGGGCCACACAAAGCTCTAGCTGAGGGCAACTGCGGTCTTCCTGCAGGCTGCTCTTGGGGATGATGATGTAATCTGAGCGGGGGAGGATCTTGCGAAAACCTGGGATGTCCGGAACCACAGCAGTCAGTGCAGAAAGCTTGGAGTTCTGAGTACCAGGAAGCCAGGGAGGGGGAAGCAAGCAGAGAGAAATGGTGTGAGACCACATGCCCATACGTCTGTAATTTTTTTTCATTTTTTGGATTGTTTTCTGCAAAAGGGACCACAAAAACTCCTCTCTTGACCTAAGATTTCAAGAGGGTCAGCCTCTGTCAACAGCAATGTCATCCTCCTCTGAATCACACTTTAGCCCAAGTAGCTTACTTGCTCAGTCACACAGGAGACAGGTAACAGGGATCAGACTCTGGAAAGGACACTGATCTTGGAATTTGAAACGGTAAGCTGGAATCTCAGATCTGCAGTCTTGAGCAAATACTTTTCAATTTTTGGGTCTTGCTGCTCCATTTGAATTTAGCTATTTACGAGTTCCTTTCCAGCTCTAAAACATCAGGATTCCAAAGTAGCCAAAGACTTAAAAACCAGAAAGTATAATGTTCAATAAAACCCCAAAAGGCATAAAATACAAGTCAACAGGCCAAACTGGAACTCAAGGCAGCAAGCAAGAATTCTGATAATACTGGTTTCTCTCCCAGACTTATAAAACAGAGGATGAACCGATCACTTCACAAGAAAGAAAGTATGTATGCATGGGAATATCTGACAGAACCTGTATATACTGGGGGCAGCAGAGGGGGAATATAAATATTAACACTAACTAGTAAATTAACATTCAGAAAATACCTTCCTGACCTTATCATTAACAACACTATTAAGTTGAGTACTATTATTGTTCCTATGGAAGCTCGGGGAGGTAAACTTCCCCCAAACACAAAATTATTAAGTAGTAAAGACTCCAAACCAGGTCTTCTAAAGAGCAAGGAAACCAGGCACTAAAAGCAAAACGGTTCATGGCCAAGAAAAGGGTACTTTTGCTTTATTTTTTCAAATTAAACTGCAAGTTACCTAATAAGAAAAAGAGAAAAGTTCAAAGTCAACAGTTAAAGTGAGAGCTGAAATTAAAAGGAAATAATTTCAGATGCACCTTTTAAAAGGAACACTAAGTCCATTACAAAAAGATCCTTAAATACATCAAAAGCAAGAAGTCGATGAGACTACTTAAGGTACAAAGGAAGCACTCAGATGAAAGCTGAAAGCAGCACTCAGATGAAACATAAAAGCGGACAGGCCAAATCCTTTATGGAGCCTTTACTGGAGAGATAATGGAGAAATAACATTCTCAAGTCACCCTTTGAAGCAGACAGGTTAGAACAAGATTGAGTGGCAGTAAATGCAGAGAATGATCTGGACTTAATCAACAAATCCAGGCACCTAGACACCAGGGCAACCTGAATAACACTGGAACTATGGGCCTTGCTACGTGGCAAGAGACTGGAAGGGCTGCCGAGAAGCCAGGCTGCCAAAAGGTCTCTGACAGGCTCCCAAAGTATGAAGACAGGAGGGTCTCACCTTCACACCAGGCAATCTCAGAGAGGTCAAACAAAGTACCCAAAGCCTTACTAAGTCTTGGCACATTCAGATAACTCATGCTCTTAAATACCACCTTTTCTTATCATGTGGCCCCTGGACACTAAACCTACTGAAGAGTGGTATTCACTGACCAAGGCAGCATATGTCAAGGACTCAGCTAAGAGCTTGTATTATCTATTTTAAACGCTAAACGCTGTGAGTAGATAGTATTATTTCCCACTTTACAAATGAGGAAACCAAGACTCAAAGGTTAAGTGATTCTTCCAGGGTCACAGCTAGTTAATATCAGAGCTAATCAATTCAAGTTCTTGATAGCAGTTCTAGAGAGGATGGCAGATATAAAGTCCCCACATGGATAAGAAAAAAATCATTGCAGATGATTTATTTAAAAAATGTTTTGAGGCGCCTGGGTGCCTCAGTAGGTTAAGCCTCTGCTTTCAGCTCGAGTCAGGATCTCAGGGTCCTGGGATCGAGTCCTGTATCGGGCTCTCTGCTCAGCAGGGAACCTGCTCCCCCCACCCTTCTTCCTGCCTCTCTGCCTACTTGTGATCTCTCTCTGTCAAATAAATAAATAAAATCTTTAAAAAAATGTTTTAAAAGACTTAATAAGGGCCTACATTAGTGTGTAGCTTTAAAAACCATTATCACTCTGGGAATAGGCAAAATTTTCCTGTTTCGGGGTAAAAAGGTTGCTGATTTTATTGATGGGGAAACCACAGGGAATATATACTTTTCCTAGACTCCACTTCCCCTTCCCCACAGGAACTGTCTCCCAGATTCAGTTTATAAACAAATCATCTAAAGGAGGGGGTACAGGGATGCCTGGGTGGCTATCAGTTAACCATCTGCCTTTGGCTAAGGTTATGATCCTAGACCTGGGATGCGGTCCTGTATTGGGCTCCTTGCTCAGCAAGGTGCCTGCTTCTCCCTCTGCCTGCTGCTCCCTTTGCTTGTGTTCTCTGACAAATAAATATCCTTTAAAAAAATTTTAAAAGGAGGGGGTACAGACGGGTATCTCGAAGACCTTAGATAACACAAAACTCTTCCAGAAAGAGAAATGCCAAGCCACTAAGCAAAATAATCTAAATGGCAGTGGTAGATGGCCTCCACTAGGAAAACACAACCTTCTCTGCTCTAACATAGCTTGCTGCATTCCTGAAAAACCTTTGCTCTACATTATCAAAGAAGAAATCAGAGACAATCTTTCAATTGAAAAAAGGAGTTAAGGTTAACCCTGCAACAACAAGGTTATTTTTCCTGCAGCAATTTCAGTTTAATAAAAAACCAGCAGTATTAACAGTTGTCAGTGTTGTTATTGTGAACTAGAAATACAAAATGGCTGACAGACACAATCTAGAACACAACCTTACGCATTCTTTAATTCAGGCCTGTCTTCCTCCATCATCTTCTGCCTCTGGCATAGTGCACAACCACCAGTGTTAATAGAAGAACGTGACATTATACAAAGCAGCTGTATCTACTTCCACACTCACCAGCCTAACTGCTGATTATAACTGACAGCAATCAATATAACACATATTCATTACTTTCAATTAGTAAGGTGAAAACTGATGGTGTGCAGGAAAAATGCCTTATAAACTACTAAATTAAGAAAGATAAAACGGACTCAACTCAAAGTTTTTCCAAGAAGAAAAATAGAGAACGGGATGGGCTCTTCCCAGGGCCTTTACCACTGACCAAATGGAGAAATTAGTTGGGGAAAAAAATTACTTACAGGATCCAAACCTTCTTTCTCTAGTTTGGCTTTCTCCAGGTAGTAACTCCTCTCGGCCACGCTGAGGAGCCTCCAACTTTCACTAATCTTCTTATTGATCTCAGATTGAGGGAGGTGGGGGAGTTCCTGCTGCACTTTCAAGTAGATGTCGTAATAGTATAGAAGGTAAGCCGACCTAAAGGAAGGAATAACTTAAGGTCTTCCCTCATTCAACCAGTGAAGTGTCAAGGTTTGCAAGTGAAGAGGCAAAAACCTAGCTTTTCATTTCAAAGCATTTATCTAAATAGGGACTGAAGCAAACAAACATTTAAATAATAGCCCAGGGCACCTGGGTGGTTCAGTTAAGCAGTTAAGCATCTGGTTAAGCAGTTAAGTGTCTGTACCTGATGAGTCTCACAACCCACTCCCTGCTCAGCAGGAGTCTGCTTCTCCCTCCACCCCTCCCCCCAGCTTGTGATCTCTCTCTCTCTCTCACATACACATTCTCTCTCTCTCAAATAAAATCTTTAAAAAAATCTTTTAAAAAGAAATAAATGAATACGTAAATAACAGCCCCATAGGTGTACAGGAGGATTCTCCCTCCAGAAACCTGGAAGCAAAAGCCTATCTGACTTACTTTTCCTTGGACCAGTTTTTCTGTAGGAATGATCGGCTCTATAGGCAAGTATGAGCAAAGATAAACAAGTACACTGCCATCCCACTCTTGGGGAAAGGTTACTTAGGGGCCTAATCACAGTCTGGTTATCACCCACATGCTTTACTTCTCCACAGAGCCTCTGGTCATCTCACTGGCCAACAGCACCTCCCCAGGGCTGAGAAAGGAAGTAAATTAAGTACCAAAGTAACCCAAAAGTGGTAACTTCAGCAAGAAGTTTTAGAGTATTCAGTTAAGAGCGAGATTAGAGCTATAGCATGGATAATCTTTATAGTTATCATTGATCTATTACAATTCTATATTTTTATGAATTTCCTATTTTAAATGCTTAAACATCGATAATGTTAATAATAAATAACATTACTTCATTTGTACATAGCTTCCACCATTTGTATGGTACAATTTCCTGTTGCAGCAGGAAAACATGATCAAGATCCGGCCAGGAATAGCAACTGCTGGTATCAATCCACAACTTCCTATTCCCCATCTCCCTCACCCCACAACACACTGCCCATCCAGAGACTTCAACAATGGATATGGCACTCTCAATGAGTCTGGATGCAGCCGGCAGCCTAAAGTCTTCCTCAACACAGCTCTCCAAGCAGCTTGTGTTTATAAATGCTAGCTACCAAAAGGCGTTGGCTAACCTGGGTTTCTTGGCCTTTTCTCCATGTATTTTATACTTTTTCTTCTTCTTGGGTGGCCCAGGGGAGGTATAACAGTAGGCTTCCTCAATTTCCTCCATCACGACAGTTACCTCAGTACCATCATATGATGCATCCATGGCTAGAGGAAAGTCAAACACAAACAAGTTTCAAGAATCTATTTTCCTAAAGAGGACAGTAGCCACTTGATCCAACGATCTCCTATCTCTGCCAGGGCCTCAAGGTTCAGTCATTTCCCAAACTCAGCAGATCCTAAGAAGCACTGGGTGTACTTGATAAACATACAGATCCCAGGGTTCCACCTCAGCTCTTCTAAATCAGAATCTCCAGAGGGTATGGAAATCTGTATGCTTAACAAGTGCCCCAGGTGATTCCTCTGACCCAGCAAATTTAGGACCACTAGCTTTGACAGCTCATTTGCTTATATTCACTCCTGGGATATAGTTATTCATCAACTCAAAGATTAGCCCCACTTTATAACAATTTCATATGGTAAAAGATGAAAAGACTAAATCTGGCCAGTGGTCAGAGGTTCCAGACCTTCTCTCATGTTTCATTACCTTAAGCAAACTGCTCCATTGACTCATTCAGGTATTCATTCAGACATGCAGTAAATACTTATATGTAAGAGATTCTTTACACCCTGCCAGTTTCTGTGACTTTGAGCAGATCCTTTAGCTACTTCAGGTTCAAATTTTTTCACATATAAAAAGACAGGTGTCCTTCGGCTTAGGTCATGATCTCAGGGTCCTGGGATTGAGCCTGGCATTGGGAATCTCTGCTCAGCAGGGAGCCTGCTTCCCTCCTCTCTTTCTGCCTGCCTCTCTGCCTACTCATGATCTCTGTCAAATAAATAAAAATCTTTAAAAAAAAAAAAAAAAAGACAGGTGTCTCACCCACCTTACTACAGATTTATAGCATAAGGCTCAAAGGATACCACAGATATAACTCTATTTGAGAATGCCCAGGTGCTACACAAAAGACAGGCCTCATGAGTAAAGATGAAAGATCTATAGCTGAAGTGCTTCATGATCTGCCTAAGGCCACCACACCCAAACAGGTACTTGAAAGATTTTTTTCATTCAAAAAGCCGACTTTTTTTTTATATGACACTCTCCCCATTTCCACTAGCAACCCTCTAAACCAGCACTGACCTTTCTGCAATGATGGAAATGTTCTGTATCTGCACTCTCTAATATGGCTATCAAGCACCTGAAATATGGCTACTATGACAGAGGAACCGAACTTTGTTTTGTTTAATTGTAATTAATTTAAATTAGCCACATATGATTAGCGACTATGGTACTAGACAGCTTAGGTCTAAACAGTAATCTGACAAACATTAGCTCCCTGGCCTAAGAAACAGAAAATGAACAGCTTTTCCTAGAAAAGGAAGGCATTAAAAAACCTGAATGACTAGTTCAATAAGAGTTAGCCTATTTGTGGCCACGTTCTCAGTTGGGAGTTTTACCCAAAAGACTCAATCCTTGGAGGAAGAAATGTTCCAGAAACCACTTCAATTTAATTAGACAGAAATGATATACTGTGTTTGCTCTTGAAAATCTGTCGAGAAAGAACTTGGGATTCTGGGAAGACGGAGTAGCAGTAGATACAGGGCAGATCTGTGTATTATAAACCCACTCACATCTCATTTAAACCTCCCTCTACAAATTATGAGGTATATGGTTAAGGTGTAATGAGAAAAAGAGCACTGCTTGTTAAGCAAGGAGGCCTGCCTCCAAGGCTCAACTCTAACCATGTGATCTCAGACAAGTCTATACTACACCCTGAATTTCAATTGTTCCTCCCATGAGAGGAAAAGGCTGAAATCAGTAGCTCCTAAGTCTGGGGGAGGCAAGAATACCTTTTGAGAATGTTGTAAAAGCTAAAAACCCTCCCCTAGAAAATGTAGACAAGCAACATGTCCCCTATAATTTCAAAGATAGTCTCCAGTTAAAAACACACTATTCCTAAGGTACTTTCTTGTTGTCATCCCTAATGATTTCTCTTCCCATTAAAACAAATAAACCCTGCGTCCTGTCTCAGTGCAACCCAAGAAGAGAACATAATCCACAACTTAGTTAGGTAATTAATAGGCCAGTGCCTTCACAGGGTAAGGGTAGCTAGAATTCAAATCAAGACTATGTGGCTACTATGCTTTATTTATTTATTTTGCCCTTAATAATTGACTTCTTAGCCCTTGAGAGTGTTGCAGATAAGCAGTAACTGCAGGAGAGCATCTGTAAAAAATGACATGTAGAATTCTAGCACCCAGAGCAAAACAATTTAGGAAGCAGACCCATTACAACTACCTTGGGGTGGGGGCAGGAAGAGACTACCTTGTTTTTTGCTTGCTTGACTACCCCCATTTTAAGCCTAAGATTATTTTCAGACCCTAGGCCTCAGTTCAGCAATGCCCCCTCCAAAAGGCAGAATAATATAAAGGTAAAAACCAAGGTCTGTGGAAAGTAAAAAAATCACGACTAAGTTACACATTTTTATAGCACCCGCACAGAGCTCTATGACCTTGAGCAGCCTACTTATTCTAAGCCTCAGTTTTCTCTTCTGTAAAACAGGACTAAGGGCAGTAGTTCAAATTTGAGACACTTTCACTGTTCCATCAGATGCGCCTCAAAACCTCGGGTGATAGTCTCTGACAGTTTGTCTAGGGGTCACGGCTTGTCTTCGGGCTAATTCCTTTCCCTCTCGGTTTCAGATGTCCCAAACGTACCGAATGCGGCAGCAGAAGACTAATAAGGCTTACTGGTCCTACTCTGTGGAAGGGACAACAGGGCTCAGAGAGCCGCAGTATCCGGCTCGAGGTCGCCCAGCATTTCCGCGGCACAGTGCAGCGAGGCGCTCGAGGGCGGGACTTACCCTGAGGAGCGTGCAAGCCGCGCGGCTCACATTCCCGGAGGCGCCCGGCCCTGGGGCTCGACGAGGGGGCTGGCCGGCGCAGTCGCGCTCCCCGCTGTCGGCGAGAGGCGGCTCCAGTCGTGACAGCGGCAACAAGGAAGTGGAGGCGAGGGCTCGCGCGCGCATCCCGGGGGCTGGAGGAGCCCCGGCCCCGCGGCCCCGCCCGGCGACACACGGCGCGGAGTCGCGACAGCTCCTCTCGCTCCCCCTTCTCGGAGTCGCGATATAGGGTCGTGGAGAGCGGGTATGGGAGCACAGGCTCGCTCCGCAGGCTCTTCACCGACGCCTGCCGAGGGCCCCGGGGGTCAAGCCCCGGGGAGCCCGAGGAAGACAGCAGGGACACGAGCGTCGCCGCAGCACCGGTTCGGCGGCGGCAGCGGCAGCAGCAGCACACCTCAGATCGCCAGGGAGACCCTTCCCGGCAGCCCTCGCGGCGCACCGGAAGCGGCCGGCTGCGCGTGACTGCGTGCATCCTTTTGCGCATGCGCAACAGTCCAGCCCTAGTTGAGGGGCGGACCCATAGGAACTGCTTAAATGCTTAGAGGGGGCTGATAAGGCGGACGGACTGTTTCCGGCTAGAGGTTCCGGGAGAAGGAGGAAGCTGCGGCCGCCCGCTGTGGGACGCCCAGGCCGCTTAGCCTCGGGGCATTGCCGTAGGGCGCTCAGGTAACTGGGGCGGGGCTGTGCCGAGCGTAAGAGGTCGAGGCCCCGCCTCACTTCTCAAAGCCACGTCGGGCCCTGGGGAGCCCCAGCACCACCTTCTCAGCACAGTGTTCAAGGCCAGGCTCCAGCCCTGTCCAGTCTGTTCCCGCTCGTTCAGCGCAGGGTTCTTGGTGCCGCATCAAGCCGTCCTCCTCACCCAATCGGTCCTTCCCGCCGTCCCACACACAGTTATGCTAGTGAGTTCTGGAGTGATTCAACCTGAGCCGAATGACCCAAGTGGAGAGGCTCTGGAGTCGGACAAGAATAGTAGGCCCTTTTCCCGCCAGTGTCACAGATCGTTCCACATTTGTACAAGCCCTTGCACGACCCTCACTATCTTGCAAATGTATTTTTCCAATCTGCGTACTTTTCTGTATGTGCCACTGTCACCAACCTCGTCGTCACCAGTATCTCCTCCTGGACTGATGGCGTTTTTTCCCACCTCCCCTCTTGTCGCTCTGCAGTCATTTCTCCACACAACAGGCAGATTGATCTTTTTGCACTGTAACTGATCCAGTCGCTCCCTGCTTAAAACCTTCTAGTGTCTTTTCATTCGCTTAGAATAAAATACAAGCTTAGCTTGACCTAAAAGACTTTGGCTTGTCTCTTACTTCATTCTCTTTCCACGTCGCCTCTCGATACTGGTAGTTCCCAGAACAGGGTGTATAGTACTCTGTAGTGTTCAGAACACTGGCTTCGTGCTGAGTCTCCTTGGATTTGCATCCAAGTCCTGCCATGTGTAAGCTGAATTAAGCATGTAAAGGAACAAATTAAGTTTATGAAGTAGATCTTCAGTAATTGGTTTCCATCTCCTCAGTTGGTTCTCATCTCACTAAATGGCACAACCATACATTGGGTTGCTCACTGCTCCAGCCAGAAATCTAGGATTTATCCTTAAACCTTCCCGCACCTGATATCCAGTCCATCAGCAAGATCTGCAAAAATATCGCCCAAACTGGCTACTTCTTACTACATCCACTGTAACTCTAATCCAAGCCACCATTATCTCACATCTGGACTCCTGCAGCAGCCTCCTAACTAGTCACCTGCTATTTCCCTGACACCCTTCAATTCCATTCTTTACATAGCAGTCATCTTTCTCCTTGATTAAAATCCTTCAGTAGCTTCTCTTTGCATTCAAATTAACATATCCCAGCTGTCTGTGGCCTACAAGGCTAGCTTCCTTTCATCTTCAGATTTAGGGCCACCTCTTAGGAAAATGGATTTTTACCCTTTAGGTTCTCCACTTTGCAACCAAAGGACTCCTTCTGAAGTGCAAACCTGATCACATCATTCAAATAAACAGACCTCTGTGGCCTCTTACTGTCCCAGGATCAAGCTAAAATTTTATGATTTGGCTCTTGTTCTCTTCTCCAAAGACTTTTTTTCCTGGCTATACTGTCTTGTTTTCTATAGTACTTGATAGCCTTTGCACATATTTCCTTCTATCTCATGAACTTCTAGTTGTTTGTACTTGAAGGCCCAACATCAATATTGTTTCCTCTTTGAAGTGCACTGCCCTTTCATGTCCCACCCAGTTGATCATCTCCACTGCTCTATTCTAGTTCACAGTACTTTTTAACCGCTTTTATAGTTTTAATGCACTTTAGTGTTTGTCTTCCCGGCTTCCCTGATAGGCTTCTTTTTTTTTTTTCCTGATAGGCTTCTGAATGGTGGGCACTATGCTCCATCCGTCTCTGGATGGCTGGTATTGAGCATAGTGCTTAGCACATAGAGGATGCCAAGAATGGATAGATAAATGTGTGGAGGTGGTGGTAGGAGTCAGCCCTTGCAAAGGGGCAGTCACAGCCTCAGGTCACAGCAGCTTCTCTTGTTCTGTGAGGACTCTCATGATAAAATGTCTTCGCAGACAGTTACAAAAACTGCTTCTGCCTGATCATGGTTATTTCCTTCATAGTCATAGCACACTCTGTAATTATCTTATGTATCTGTTCTCTTTTGGCTCATCTTCCTCCACTGTATTGTATATTTCCTAAGGGCAGGGACCTTGACTGTGTTGTTCATCACTGTATCCTTACCACTTAACACCTATGAACACCAAATGAATGAAACATATTCCCACAGTGAAAATCCTTCCAAGGCAAATAGTAATAGAGCTTTAAAGACCTCATTTTGATGGAATATCAAGCAGGACTATGGAGTTACAGAAATGGCACTAATTCTGAGTCAAGAAATCTGAGGTCTATGAGCTTGGATAGGCCCCTTCTCTGAGCCTCAGTTTCTGTTATAAAATGAGCCAGATAATAATCCCTTTAATTTATACAGTGCACTGCTATTTGCCAACATCTTTTACCATCTGTTTTTTCAATCTATTCCCACAGTAGACAGAACAGACATTATTTTTACAGAAGCTTGGAAATTTTAAGTGAACTAGATTCTCTGTAATGGTGGGCACTATGCTCTGTAAGGTCTCTTTTTTTTCAAACATTCTGTGAATCTGTATAAGTAATCCCTACAAGTCAGTAGTATGAATCCTATTTTCTCTTGACTTTGGCCTTATATTATCATTTCCTAGCAGGATTTTGAAAAATCTGACCCACCTTTTAGAGGGAATCCTTTATCTCTGGTTCCTGACAGGTACTCCACATTCTCTCTCCTCAGTTTTCTACACTTGTGGCAAAACAAGCCTAGAGGAGGGACACACTCAGCCCTGGTAATTGTGGCCCAGCACTCATTCTGTGAATATGGCAAACAAGGGGAACAAGAAGCGTCGGCAGTTCTCCCTGGAGGAGAAAATGAAGGTGGTGGAAGCTGTAGACTCAGGAAAGAGGAAAGGTGATGTGGCAAAAGAATTCGGTATCACCCCTTCTACCTTGTCTACATTTTTAAAGGATCGCACCAAATTTGAAGAGAAGGTACGGGAGGCATCTGTAGGACCCCAGCGGAAAAGGATGAGGAACGCTCTCTATGATGACATTGATAAAGCTGTTTTTGCTTGGTTTCAAGAAATCCATGCCAAAAACATTCTTGTGACTGGGTCTGTCATTCGGAAAAAAGCACTAAACTTGGCCAACATGCTTGGCTATGACAATTTTCAAGCAAGTGTGGGTTGGCTGAACAGATTTAGGGATCGCCACGGAATTGCTTTGAAAGCAGTCTGTAGAGAGGATAGTGACAGATTAATGAATGGTCTAGGAATAGATAAGGTTAACGAGTGGCATGCAGGGGAAATTATAAAACTGATTGCTGACTACAGCCCAGATGATATCTTTAATGCTGACGAGACAGGAGTGTTTTTCCAGCTGCTTCCCCAGCACACGCTTGCTGCTAAAGGAGACCATTGTAGAGGTGGCAAGAAAGCAAAGCAGCGGTTGACAGCACTCTTTTGTTGCAATGCTTCAGGGACTGAAAAAATGAGACCGTTGATTGTTGGTAGGTCAGCCAACCCACACTGTCTCAAGAACGTCCGTTCCCTCCCTTGTGATTACCGAGCCAACCAGTGGGCATGGATGACGCAGGATCTGTTTAATGAGTGGCTGATGCAAGTGGATGCCAGGATGAAGCGGGCGGAACGCCGCATCCTCCTGCTGATCGACAACTGCTCCGCTCACAACATGCTGCCACGCTTGGAAAGGATCCAAGTGGGGTACCTACCCTCTAACTGTACTGCCGTCCCGCAGCCCCTGAATCTCGGCATAATTCACACCATGAAAGTGCGGTACCGAAGCTACCTCCTGACCCAGCTCCTCCTCAAGCTCCACAGCAGTGAGGACCAAGGAAAAGTGGACATCGGGCGGGCCATCGACATGATTGCGGCAGCATGGTGGTCAGTCAAGCAGTCCACAGTGGTGAGATGCTGGCAGAAGGCAGGCATCATCCCCACGGAACTGACAGATTGTGACACAGAAGCAGCAGCCAGTGAACCAGAGGTAGCCATTGAAAAGTTATGGCACTCTGTGGCTCTTGCCACCTGTGTCCCCAACGAAATACATTTCCAGGACTTTGTCACTGCCGATGATGATCTCATCATCGCTCCAGAGCTGATAGACACAGAGATCATCCAGGGCATGGAGGATGCTGAAAATAGAGATGAAGCTGGAAGTGAAGAGGAGGGGGAGGTATCTTTACCACTGCAGCCAAAAATCACCATCACGGAGGCCATCTCAAATGTACAGAAACTTAGACAGTTCCTTTCCACTTGTGTAGGTGTTCCTGACACCGTTTTTGGACAGCTAAATGGAATAGATGAATATTTAATGAGGAAAGTGACACAAACTCTTGTTGACTCCAAAATTACAGATCTCCTCCAAACAAAATAACGTAGGCATTAATTGCCTCTTTTGATTTAGAAAATGTAGTTTATAAGAATAAAGTTTTTAGATAGGTTATTGAACTTAAATTTTAAGCAATATTATAATGACAACATTCCAGTCCTCTGAAATAATCAGGAAACTTCCTTGAATGAAGTTTGACAAATATGTGTGTTATCTTTTGATTAATCAAATGGTCTCAAAAGTTGTCTGCACCTTAGGATCTCTTGAGCATCTTTAAAAAAATTTCTAAAGCCCAGGCCTTATCCCAGACCAATTAAATCACAATCTATAGTTATAGGTCACAGGCATCAGTAGTTTGTGAAACTGCCCAGGTCATTCCAATGTACAGAAAAGTTTGGGAATTGCTGATTTGGCCAAAGGAAAATCGAGCACACGGTGGGGTAGGAGCCAACCTCTTGCCAGTAAGTCTAGCTTAGTGGTTTCCAAATGTTAGCTCACTTCAGAATCACTTGAAAGGCTTGCTGAAACACAGATTGCTGGGCTCCAC